AAGAGGAGTATGAGGTCTCAGCATAGGCGGTGCCCAAGAGGAGTATGAGGTCTCAGCATAGGCGGTGCCAAAGAGGAGTATGAGGTCTCAGCATAGGCGGTGCCAAAGAGGAGTATGAGGTCTCAGCATGGGCGGTGCCAAAGAGGAGTATGAGGTCTCAGCATAGGCGGTGCCCAAGAGGAGTATGAGGTCTCAGCATGGGCGGTGCCCAGCAGGGGTTTGAGTTGGATGGGGGGAGGGGATCAGAGCAGTTTAAAAGGTACGGCTGTCCTTTATTTCTTTTCATTGATAAATAGCTGGACTCGGATCGGTCTGAAGATCGGCTTTTTGCTGCTACATACGAAATTACTTTTTCCTGCCGAATTAATCAGAAATCTTCGTCTTTGTAGAGAAATTGGTGCTGAGTTTGCGCATGACTTCGGCGTGACTCATTCCGATCATCTCCTTCTTGGCCGATCCATAATTCTCCTTGACAAACTTGGCGAACGGCGTGAGCTGGGTGGTGGCCGGAGAGCCGTCCTTCCGCGTCGCCGCCTGCAGGACCAGTTTACCTTTACATAGGGCGCAGACGAATCTTTCCGTGTCCAGAGACTTGGAGTGACGGCCGATCCTAGGGAGAGGCAAGCAGAAAGTGGATGAGCGGTACGAGGTGGCCGCCTTAAAGGGGAAGAGAGGAGAGCGAATCACACTCATCCCCATAGTTAGAGCCGACGTGTGACAATGAAACTGTCACAGGTCGGCTCTATTGATCGGAAGTGAGCGAACACATACCGCCGATCCGATCACTTCCCGATCATCTCCCTGCAAAGAGTAGTGACTGGCAGTCACGGGTCCCTGCCGCCCTCCCCAGCACTGAGTGGAGGAACAGACAGGGGGAGGGGTTTGGCATAGCTGGCTCTGCAATGAGCCCTAACCCTAAGGATGGATCCATCCTGGCTGCCGTGCTCAGCATATAGCAGACAATAGCCCGCTATAGACTGAGTTTAGGGTCACAGGAGGACATTAGTCCTCCCGTGACCCTAAAGAGAACTATGGGGGGGGGGGGTTACCCCATAGTTCTCTTCTAAATGACATTTTTGGGGGCTTCATAACTGCAGGAGGAAGTGCAGCTTGAATTCCATTATAAACCAACA